TTATTATTCATTAATTCTAATTATGAAGATAATAATGATGATAACAACAATGATGATAATTATAATAATTGCATTTACGAAGTGCATATCCATGCTCTACGGCATGCTTTATGCTCTTTGCAGTTATCGTTACCTCAGCTGACCCTAGATCACTCCGAAACGTTCTCGGCTACCAGGAGAATATACCATGCCAGCAGCCACTAACACTAACCAACTGATATGATCTTTAGCCGTCTGTCTATTAGGCGAAGTGAGGAATAATATGCTTGTAAGGTGCCTTTCCCAAGGACACGATGTCGGGCCTCTGACAGGGTTTTATACATGCCCCTTTGATTCTGAGCCCAACCACTTAACCTACCGAAGTCACATAATTAGTCCATATGTAATCGGTCTACTGTCTAGGCAGTTTCCAACTGAAACCTGTCTTATGATGGTAAAATTTACAGTGCGTACTTATAGCACCAACGGTTAACGCAAGACCAAAAATACGCGGGTGGTAGACCTGTGCATTCTAGATTACCATTTCGGTCCCACTCTTGGGAGATACATTGTTGCAAATCTTTTAGTATGTCAATCACATGTAGTCAGTGTTTTACCACACGCCTTCCCTTAGTTTTGAAACTTTGAAGAATTTCAAAATAACGAGAGCGCTAAACAAGAATCGTGACTGATTCATCATTTTGTTTATTTCTTCCTGGTATTGGGTACAGGCTGCAAGACAGGCTCACCATCTGTCTCAGTCCTCGATGATCTTCTCTACCTCCATACAGCTTTGATCCATGTTCCTCAGGTCTGCCTCCAGATCTCCTTTACTAGTGGATCTCGGTCTTCCTCACGTTCTCCTCCCCCAAGGATTCTGTCTTTGGCCTTGTCTTGTCAAACTATGGACTGCCAAGTTCACCGCCAGAACCACGCCAGACTCCTTTTTTTCTAATACAAACTAGAACTGAAATAATGAAACAGAACCAAAACATTATAATATTGATCGCCCCTCCCCACCAATTCTTTATTGGAATAACAGCATTATCTGTATACCCCCAGAAATTGATCTGCGTGATCCATGAATGACCCTGGTAAATATTACGTGTAAATCGATTGCTACTTTCTAATTACTGTAACAGAGTTAGTTGAGGTAAAAAGGGCAGAGTACCTTTCCAAAGTATACAAATAACCCTATACCACACATTGAAAACCAGCATAAAATCTATTGTGGATCTACTAAAATTATTGTTGACTACGTTCGCTCTTCCAGTTTCCATAATGTAAGGGTAAGGCGCTTGGCTGTCACCAGCAGAAGACCGAGTTCCATTTCTGTGTGGGGTGAATTTTTACTGAGCATCCTGTCAGCTATGGGTGTGCGAGTGCAGTATTGAAGGCTTCAGTCCGAGTGATTGTAAAGTACACGAATGGGTAGATTGTACTACCCATACCCGTTCTTTACTTCTCTTTTTCTTATTTTAATTTTAATTTTTAATTGTATGCATACCAACGTGTGTGGGTGGTTGTCAGGTGCTCTGGTGTGGTTTGCTTCTTCTTTCCAATAAAAAATATATCGTCCTTATCTACCTTCCTTCTTTTTTATGTTTGTAACATCTCTTATCTTCTGGCACTCAAATGACCTTATGCAGTTGCGAGCGCCGTAAAACCTCTACTGAAACAAACATACCCACATGAGAGGGAGAGAAAGAGAGGGAAAGACACTGACAAAGAGAGACTGACAGATAGACAAAGAGAGGAGAGCAAAACACTGATGAAAAAACAATATAAAGACGTGGAAGGATTCACTTATACGAGATTAATAAATAATCGTGGTGGATGAGAAAAGGAAAGGGTACGGGAGCTTAAATCTCTCAAAGCATTATTTTGTATCGTCACATATTTTGTGTGTGTTTGTGTTTGTGTGTGTGTGCGTGTGTGTGTGTGCGTGTGTGTGTGTGTGTGTGTGTGTGTGTGTGTGTGTGCGTGTGTGTGTGTGCGTGTGTGTGTGTGTGTGTGTGTGTGTGTGTGTGCGTGTGTGTGTGTGTGTGTGTGTGTGTGTGTGTGCACGTACGCGCGTGTGTATGCACTAGAGAGAGAGAGAGAGAGAGAGAGAGAGAGAGAGAGAGAGAGAGAGAGAGAGAGAGAAGGAGGGGAGGGGCGCTTCTTTTTGTGTGTTAGGATAAAGGATTACAGACCTAGATCTATTTTCGTTAATAAATCAGTAAGTTTTTACTATTTTGCTCTTTGAATGCTGGGCTTTGTTCAGTTTTGTGTACTTATCTAAAATTATCTTTAGATCCTTGATAATTTAAACTGCTAATTAGCAACCCCCTCCCCCCCTCCCAAGTCAGCTTGGGTGAGGTGAGGGTGGGGGGGGGGGGGAGGGCACACACACTCCCTTCACAGTCTCCTCACAAACATAGACACCCGATTTTGAGGCTATTTTGTTGTGACTGACCCTATCATTCAATTGATAAGAAAAGAGGAAACAAGCAAATATATAAACAAAAAACCCCCACATTGTTATTATGTTAAGTGATCTATTCTAACAACAATATGGGGCGTAACTGAAGATTGAACACTTTCATATTTTGTGTGTTCGAACAAGCGTCAAAATAATATATATTAATCTAGGTGCTACAAAAAAAACCAACAACCCCCAAGCATTCAAAGTGTTAGAGAGCTAATTTTCTGTAGGATTAGAAAGAGCTGTGGAAACAATAAAATTCATCATTCGAATAATCAGAATGGGACAATAAATTAAAAAAAGAAATCAATTATCAAGGTTTAAATTCATTGAAAATATTCATTCTTAAAATAATAATTATGACAGACATGGGACTGATATTTCATTCGTAATTTAGCAAGCTGAATGTATCGAGCCAGAAGAGCAAATGTACTTTGTCCATGTGCCTGATGCCACTTTCAACTTTGAGTGTTGTCTGTACCTCTGCGTTTTAATCTGTATAATTCAGGCCAAAGGTGAATCATGTTAAAGTGTTTGTTTTCTCTCTATAGCAGTCAGAAAGGTGTGAATGTAATCACTATAACAAAGGTATCCGCTCCTCCTCAGGTGCCGGCTGCTCTGCGGAGTACAACGAAGAAGACTGCGTGACGTCATGCGGATATGGCGCTATTTCTGGCCGTTGTTCGTGGCGAGAAGGAGACACTACCATGTCAGCTAACTACAGCACCTGCACCCCCAATCTGGACACATGTCCGGACGGGATTTGCAGTGAGCTTGAGGTTAAAGATTTCCTCATTTGCCCTCAAGACTGTAGTCAAGGTAGTGTAAAAGATCAAATGTTTTAATTAACCCCCGATAACAAACAAATAAATAAACAATCAAACAAACAAACAAACAAACAAACAAAACAAAAAATGTGAATAAAGGCAAGGTTATTTAGATGCGTTTATTCAGGTGACACTACCAGATAAAACAACAGATTATAGAGCATAAAAAGTATGGTAGTTGTTTCCTGGCGCAAATAAAATAGCGTGCACACTTTGAAAAAGCCACATGATGGAACTTCTCTTTACAGTAAGTTTCTTTGTAAGATCAAAGTAAAGGACACCCCCCCCCCACCCAGTTCAGAAGTGTTTAACCTTTTGTCCGGACAACCTCAAATAGACAACCTGTCGACCGAATCTGAGTTGCAAATTTCTCGGATGTTTTTGCATACGCTCCTGAATTCTCAAAGGCCTAAAAAAATCTCGATTTTCGTGCATATGCCACAAATATATAGAGGTGCTGTCTACATAATCATGAGTAAGTAATTGCTCATTAAACTTAACACCGCGCACTTTTGATAGCAAGCACGGTACCATGCTAAAACTAAGGGCTTAGCCAGAAATTTCAGAGGGGGGTGGGGGGTGATACAGGTCGATTTAAAGGGAACCCCCCCCTCCCCCCCCCCAACAAAACAAACAAACTAACAAAACAACTAACTCAACTACAGCTCTTGTAGTAATAAAAAATAGAATGTAATTAAACGCTAATGATTATATAGAGAACACCCCTTTATATTTGTTGCATATGCATGAAAATCGAGATTTTCTAAGTTTTTTGAATTTCAGAGGCACATGCAAACAAACCGGGCAATTCGCCACTTTGTTTCTGTGTAATGAGGTCAACAAATTGTCTATTTGTTGTTGTCCAGACTAGTGCTCAACGGCCGGAGTTCTTTATTTCCAGAGTCCATAAATAGTCGACTAAACAATTGGTAGTGCCGTTGTGGTCTAATGGAGGAGGGGGGGGATGTGGTTGTACTCTTTACTTTGACCTTTTCATTCTACAGAATCTATGACAGGCCAGCTCTTGCGTTGGCCACTAAACCGCGGAATCTTCAAAGCCAAAGGACCGTGCTGGTGTGACGGAGATCGCTACTGTCAGTGCGGACCCCTCAAGCTGCCACCTGGTCACACCAACTACAGTTTCTCAGGAACTGCGGGACACAGAGGTAAAGTTTTTTTTCCAGTATATTATATTGCGGTCAAAAATTCTTGACGCAGCTTAATGTCAAATATTTTTGAACTATCGAAAATAGACTCTCCACCTTTTGCACAATGACTTGTATTAATTTGTCTTAACAGATCAATATTTTTGTAAACACCCTTTAGCTGTATTCTTGAAAATTCCTGAATACCTATTAATTAAAGTCCAAGTGGGTGGTTTCTAGAGATTTTTAAATGTTTCAGTGGCTGTGGATAGTGACGGACTTACGGGCACATGCAAACAATCCGGGCAATTCGCCACTTTGTTTCTGTGTAATGAGGTCAGCAAGTTGTCTAAACTCTAAACCATAGTAAATTTAAGTTTCTTAGATAACGATATAAGCAGATGAAACGGCTATGAGCGCTCGCAATGAACAAAGAGTGATCAACTTGTCAGATTGCTTGTTTATTCAATTACTGTTGTCACCGTTTACAACTATAGTAACCCAACATCCAATAGGGCTCAGCAAAGGATAAATCCGTTCCCACTTTCCTTCCTTATTGAAATTCTTCTTGTAAAATGGTAGAGGATTTGAAAAAAAAAAGAACTGCATATTGATGGCTCAAACTCTCTAGCCCTGACAATGGGGTGAAAGTTTACGGGACACTTTCCCCCAGTGTCACAGTTAATAAACGCTATTTGGACCTTAGTTACGTGCGTTCAACTTTTTGCGATCTAATGACCTAATCCAGTTCTTAGGCGGAATATGTTTGAAGTGCTGTTTGTGGCACGTTTTTGACTGCATCGCTGAGAACACATCGAAACACCTTCAAGGCGAAATTCATCAGATGAAAATAGAGGAAATTTGGAGTCCCTTGAATCCCAGAGGCCTTCACGGCAGACTGTATTAAATGTCTTTGTGGGGTCATGTCATGTTATTATGTCATCGTGAAAGGCACATTGACTTTCTGGAGATGAATGATTTGCAGGGAAATGAATAAGAAAGTGGTTGGAACGAATGCTTGGACGCTGATTCCAGCAATGCAAAAGGAGTGAAATGGCACGTTGGTTGACACAGAATTAACGATCACCCTTGTTTTTTTGGGTCTTTAAAACGACTGAAGTATTAGTCCGCTACAAAATATAATGTTTAATAGCTCAGCCAGCTTCTGGATCAACCAGTCACCACCATAATAATACTATACATATATATTAGGTTGGACGTAAATAATCCGTTGGGGAGTTATTCAGAAACAATAACTGCTATACATCTACTTTAGTTTCATCACTGTTGTAGCTATGCAAGCTTGAAGCTGATTGGTGTCTGTGGGGAACATTAGACTCACTCTCTGTTACAGGATGCAAACTTAAACAATGAAACAAGACATAAGTCGAGACAAACAACCGTACCTCAAAACGCAGAGCTTGCCGGAGTGTCAACTGTACTTTTTTTTAGCCAACAGGAACACAAAAGCCTGACAGTTTCATCTAACTAGGGTAGTTGGTCCAAACAAAAAAACACCAATTTATTTGATTGATATAATTTATTATGTGTTCATTGATGCGCTGATGCAAAGTAAATTTCTTTCGTCTTGCTTGACTGCTCCATCACCCCTTTTTCCTATTATCTATCCATACGTCCATAACAATTATAGCGATGAAAATAATAATAATAACAATAATAATAATAATAAAAATAATAA